TTAGGCGTTGGCGCGTCACGAGCCCAACACCTGCTGGAGCCCTTTAATCATCAGATGCCCAGAACACAAGCAGACTATGACAGGCTGCTGACCAGGATGAGGAACTACGGACATGTTGCCGAGCGCTCTCCTGGCAACATTGCGGGTATCTTCACAGGGCACCTCTCACATGCAGGTGTCTACGCCACGACTGCGGGGTCACCTGCTGGTCCTGGCGAGCCAAGTCCCTGGGCTGACCCAGCCGATATGCCCAACGAGGCCACTGCCTTCTTAGGGCAGACCGGCCAGGCATCGGCAGAGGCAGCTGAGGCGAACGCCTGGTCGAACTACTCGCCAGGCGCCGCCTACACTGCAAGCCCGCCCTCGGGCACAACCCTCTGGGGCCACGCGGAGTCATCCGCTCAAGGGTCTCAGCCACCCTCACCGTTTGAATCTGGCACTGACACAGACACCTCATCTGACGATGAGCACAATGGCATAGTCTCTGCTGGTCATGACTATCCAGCGGATGACACTCACCTTTCTGAACAACAAAGAGCGGAAGCCGCTTTTATGGCCTATCGCAAATCAAAACGCCGTTGGAGGCGCTTTATGAAGAAACCAGTCAGAAAGGTGAGACGTGCAGTACGCCGACATTTCAAACGATATGGAAAGGGTCGTGGCAAAGGGGGTCGCAGACGCCGTATGCATGGTAGGGGTATTACTGCTTTCCTCACGTCCTTAACTGATATAGTCTTTGAGGAAGTTCTTATCGGAGGCAAAGGTCGGGGTCACAGGCGGACCTCCGGTAAGGGAAAGGGGCGGAGGGGCAACCCTAGGGACGCTTCTGGTAATACTATGAAGTGTCATACATGCGGCAGCACAGAGCATTTGCGCGATCAATGCCCGAAGGGGAAAGGAAAGGGATCCGTACATTTGGCTCAAAATTCTTTTATGGATGACATAGATTACATTGACTACGAGTTTACGTCAATCCAGAAGCGGCTCCCGCTGCGGGCTCCTCCACGTATTACGTGATGGCCCGCTACGCTGAAGCAACCGTAGCCCTGGAAGACTACGCAGTGACCCTCTTCGACGAGTTCCACGGCTGGGACGAAGTCGACGAGGTCGCGTTCAATGCTTGGTTCGGTCTTCCAGCGGGGCCACCCGCCGACGACGAGATCTCCGAAGCTGAGACCGTCCCGGCGACCGAGGAAGAGCTCACCCCCGCGCTGGCACCGCAGGTGATTGGCACGCCGTTGCTGCCAGATCTTCCGCGAGCTGGCTCGGAGGCGGGAGGCTCTGATGACGAAATGCGGGGCCATCCCGCGCATTCTGACTCCGAAGAGGCCGAAGAGGACTATAAGGACATGCTCCAAGAGCAGGTCGCAGAAGCAATCCGGCTCCTGAGTGCGCCAGCACATCAGCAGATAACCATGAACGACCTGCTGTCGCGCCCAGGGGCCGCACGGCTGCGTCCATACCTGGATTCGGACATGTCGGCACCTCAGATGCTGACAGCACTCCAGGCTCTAGCTGGGTCACCCGCCGAAGTGACGCCAGCCGCAGCAGCGGGGCCACCCGCTTGGTCTATGGATGTATTTATGCAGGGCTGCGACCAGATGGACCTCAACGACCTCGCGATGGAGCAGCTAAACGACATCGGGTACTTCAGGAGCCCGTATCAGCACGTATTCATGGTCCAGGATAGCTCAGAGGACTCGGAGGACATGCGCTATGCCAAGAGGGACAGACGACCATCGCCTCCCCGAGACTCAGAGCATGACGATCAAAGGCCCAAGGAACGTGGTAGTGCGTCAGCGGGGCCAGCCCGCAGGAGGAGCCGTTCAGCTCCCCGACGCCCTACACATGATGCATCGGGCTACCCGTGCAGTACGGAGCACTCCGTTGGTGTATCCGCTCAGTACGTGCCGGAGTGTTACATCAATTGGTACCCCGGCTACTCGATGGACGTGATCCGCCACTGGTATTCTAAGGAATACTGCACCAAAAGGGACGAAACTGGCATGATAATACGTACCAAGGGTGGCAAGACCAAAACGCCAGAGGCTTGGGACAAAAGGGCTAAGAAACAGGAGATCATCAACGATCGCAAGACATACAGGAAACAAGTATGTCAATGCGAGCCCTTCAAAGGTCACATGCGCAGTTGTCCGATGGACCGCCCCTCCAGGAGTCCTCATCACGGTGAGACCCCGTGGAATTGGTCTCATGGAGATGACGCCGGCAACGTCCATGATCCTAACAAGGAGGTCCCTGGAGGAGGAAAGCGCATCACAGAAGCCGATCGCGTCCCTATGACCGAAGAGGTTGCCAACACTGTAAGGGAAAATTGGGTACAGCTTCCCAATGACCATCGCCTCAAGGAATGGAACCGCCGATTCCATAAAGAGGCGGGGTCACCCGCAGGATCCAGCAAAGAAGCGGGGTCGCCCGCAGACGCGGCGCCAGCCGCTGGGTCCGCGGACGAAGATTGGATAGCTATTGCATCTGCTGCCGGGCCCGCCGCCGGTACTGACCACACCGAACTGAATGAAAAATGGGCGGCGGAAGACGGCTCAGAGAATCCATTCCCTGATGGATGCGCCTGCTGGTACTGCAGCTCCTCGGCGCAGAAGTGGTTTTGCACGAGGGCAATTCACCGCCACGAAAATGGCAAGTACAAGCTGGCCATACAAGGTACTGCCGACATCGACCAGATGAGGCAGATCATCCATGATCATGGCCAGCCAGAAGGCCCTCCTAGAGACCCTCCTGGTCCACAACCGGGCAAGGGCAGCAGACCACCTCCAAGACCTGAAGCCGACTCCTCGTCTTCACCGACTCCTGCGAAGAGGCACCCGTCCAAGAGCCCCGAAGGCACACAGGGGCGGGCGAAGGCCAGAGGGATCGCCAAGACGGACGACCCTGAGCTGGGAGATCCCCCCGGTCTGTCCGTGACGGAGAGGAGGAAGGCTTTTGCTGGACCATCGACCCCGATGCCACTGGCGACCCAAGGCGATGTCAAGGACGAAGTTCGCGACAAGCCTAAGGCAGCTTTCCGAGGTGACTGGACTCCAACTCTGCATCAGCCGCGCCTTGCACCACGACCAGGTTCGGCACGCATGAAAGCACAGCCGATGCCCGAAGCTGGGATGAGGTCGGTGCGGGCAGAAGCAGCCGCCAAGGCTAAGGAGGACAAGGGCTCTGCGGGGCCACCCGCTAAAGCGGCGCCAGCTGCGGCAGCGGGGGCACCCGCAGAAGGCACTCTCTCAAGAGAAGAACGCTTCAAAGTCCTCAAAGAATTTGGCGACCGACAGAAACTAGCCGATGATGCAGTGGCTGACCAAGGTCACCCGCACCCTGGCGCGGAGTCATCCGCTGGAGCTGCCTCGTCAGCCGCAGGCTCTGCGGGGCCACCCGTTAAAGCGCCGCCAGCTGCATTAGCGGGGCCACCCGCGCGCTGGCAGCCAGTAGTGTCTGTTCTTAGGAACATCCCTCTGGGAGCCATGGAATATTGGCAAGGCATTGAAGGCAAAGGCCCGAAGCGCACCATAAACCCACGAGTCACTCGAGACGATACAGACCGATACGAGGTCACTAATTGCCCTGATCGTCGTAACTTCGAGTGCCGCAACGACTGGGAACGTGAACAACAAGCCGTGGGAAATATGTTGCGAGACAGGCCGCCATTGCGCGTCGCGCAGCATAAGGCAGAGCTCATGAAGGTCATGGAGAGGTTCGGCATGGATCCGACTCTGCCGCGCGATGGGCAAATTACCAAGGTGTCAATATGGTTCTCTACAGCCCTACGCCATAGTCCGTATTGGAAGGACGGATTCAGCCGACACTTCGAAAAGATTAGCACTTTCGATCCATACGATGGCTGGGCTGTTGTTGACGATTTGCTGACAAACTGGACTGAACATGATCAGTGGAAAGGCTATCGTGAAATGCACGAGGTGCTGATCAAGGGCAGGCCCCACACGTCATACGTGTATTGGGTGCTGCTAAACTGCTGTGAGATGATTGACCATCACGGCATGCAGAAGGGCAGGCTCCAGATGAAGTGCGTTGATGACAGCATGCTGCTGCCTCCCAGGTTTCGACCAACGGCGCGCAGGCCACAGTACTTCATCAGAGCCACGAACGGCCACAGCAGCCCAGGCATCCACTGTCCCGAGTCGCGTTATAAGCCGATCACAACATGGATGAAAGAACCAGACGACCCAGTATATTTCATCCACGGGACACAGTGGGAGTATGTCAAGGACATCCTTGCTAATGGCCTTTCATGCCTCGCACAGGACAACCCTAAAAGGAAGAGGGGGCGCCAATTTGTGCACGGCTGCCCCTACCTCCCGGGCGACCCGAGGATTCAATCGGGCATCCGTCCTGACTCGGAGGTGCTCATATTCTGCAGCATCAACAATATGCTGTCCAGTGGCTTTTCCCTATGGAGGTCAGCAAATGACATCGTCATGACACGGGGCCACGACGGCCGTATACCGCCCGATCATATCCTCCAGATTGTGAGCATTGCGACATATCGGGTCGGTGAAGCCTGGAGCAATCCGCTGGCTTATGACAAGTCGCGGAGGCGGGGCCAACCCGCGGACAGGATTCGCACCGATGACTACCTGCCACTTAAATTCTGTGACAGAACTCTGGGTGTAATGGAAGATCACGCCATGTACCTAAAGGGCTGGTCTAAGACGGACGGTCGCCCATTCAACTTGATCATGACCGAGCAAGATGTTGCTCCACGACCGTACGACACACAGACAGTCCTCATGATAAATGCCCAGGAAGACGAGGTCATGCCTGAGGCGGGGCCACCCGCAGGTGCGGGGACACCCGCGGTAGACACCTCGGACGGTTCATGGCAACAAGTGGTCACACCAGTAGCAACGGTAGCATCTCCTTGGAGGCCGGATCAGCAGGCATGGGTCCAGGCCCTCAACAGCTACTTGACACCAGCCGACGTTTCTGGACTAACCGATCAGCTATATCGTGCTGACCCGTGGGCAGTGCATACAGGTATCCAAGACGCACAGCAGAGGAATCTGCGCACTCCTGCGGGGCCACCAGGCGTCCTAGGACCACAGCCACAACGCCCTCCGCAGCAGGCTGGAGGTGCGAGGTTTGTCCCTATGGGCGGCTCAGATGGTGGCTCGCCGTTTCGGACTCCGCCGTCTGAAACGAGCGAGAACAGCTTGTGGCAGAGACTCCAGGCGATTCGCGGGAATCCGGCACTCGCAGCAGCACTCCAAGCAACCACTCCCTTTGGCACTCCGAGGGGTAGTGAAGGAGGAGTGGCTGCGGGGTCACCCGCCGAGCGAACGCCTGCGGAGCCACCCGCTCAAGCGGGGCCACCCGCTGACGGACAGCAAGGTTCAGACTACGAACGTCGGGCAGCCAACTTAAGAGCACAGGATACTTTTCTGCAGCAACAAGCTGATAGAGTGCCCAGCCTGTTGCGGAACCGCAACATAGATGTTACGAATCATGGCGACTTTCGGCCTCTCTGGAGCTGGACTTCTGAAGATGCTCCAAATGCTGATCCCACGAATCCATATCGACAGGTGTTTTTTCCAGGAATAGCATCACACCCAATATATGGATGGGACAATCATGGACCAGCAGAGGCACAGGCCATGGACGCGCCGATGTACCCGGAGTACTACGCGCAGATGAATAACACTCCTATGATTGCGGGGCCACCTGCGAACGAATACACTCGGAATCTTGCCAATGAGATGTTTCGTTTGCAGTTTTCACGAGCGGTCGATGCGCAGTCTATGCCGCACTACGCCTACATGCCCACGCCGACGGACCCCGAGACCGTAGTTCAGCCAGCTGGTCTCGCGGTGCCAGCCGCTATGGGCAGCATGCCAGACTACATCCGCGACGTGCACAACACGCAGCAAGCGATACTGGCATCTAGGCAGCAGGCTCGGGACAACACCAGGCTGCGCCAACACCGCGCGATCCAGAGAAGGATTGAGCGTGAGACCCAAGCGGGGACACCCGCAGACGCGGGGCCACCCGCTGAACGGCCAGATAGACGGCCGCCACCGACGCCATATCGGGAGGGCGAAACCACTTTCGAGCGCCAAGCTCGGACTCGCCCTGACGTGCCTGCTCCAGTCATTTCAGACTACAACTTCACACAGTGCCCAATCTGCATGGACAACTACGAGATGGGCACTACAGTGTGGAGACTGGCGTGTGGGCACTTCTTTCACGATATATGCTGTGATCGCGTTGCACAGCAGCACGTCCGCAATCAGCGGCCAGGTGCGCCGAATGAGGCCCCCTGCGCTGTATGTCGTGGGCCGGGCATAGTTATAGCGCACTTCCCGCATGCTGGACAGCGCGACGCTGAATCAGAACAAGCGCGCCAGCAGGAAAGGTACGTGGCAGATGCCCGGGAAATGCGTCGGCTACGTGAAGCAGTGGAGGCACTGGAGGCTCGAGCCGCGCAATCGGCGGAGCCATCCGCACGTGCCCCAGCTGCACAGGCATACCCCTGGCCAGCGCCAGAGCAAGGCATTCAGATGCCCATCCTGCCTACGCTTCGAGCGCAGGAGCCCCCCGCTGCGGGGCCACCCGCTGAAGCGGCTCCCGCCGCCCAAGCGGGGCCACCCGCAAATGGACCTCCAAATCCAGGTTTCCTGAGGGCAATGGAGGCCAACATCAGGCGGAGTGGCAGGAGCGGAGGCGGGACTCGAAGGCCAACTGGATCAACCAGGACCTCGCGAGTGGCAAGCCCGGTCAGCGCCAGGAGCCGTGCAAGCGCCGAGAGCGCAGAGGCAGCCCAGTTCCATACCACATTCATGATCGATACAGAGGGGCTGACCTACGCACGTGACGACACGGACACGCTGCCACCAGGAGGTGAATGGATGTCCACGCTATCTGCGAATTATTGGGTCCTTGAGCAGGAACCAATAACCGTGGAGGAGCGCCGCCAGTATGAGCAGATGTGGTGCACCGAGCTAACCATGAGTCAATGGGTGCTTGAACAGCGCCTGTTGAAAGGTACACTCGGTTCGCAGATCACGTACCACACCAATGACCATGGAACAATGGCTCTGGCAGCGCGAAATGGGACATTCTTTCCTGACGAAGACGGTATGCCCTGCATCTCGTTCATGCTAGACATTGGGTCCAATGTGAACATCATTGGATCCAATACGGCGCGAACCTTCCAGGAGATTATGGCCAGGTACAATCACAGACCTGCCATATGCACCCTGAGCAAGACCCTCTACATCAATGGTGTTGGTGAGGGCGCTGCGATATGTCGGAAGATGGGCAACTTCAAGATCGGGGTACAATATGCAAATGAGGCGAGCCCCCGTATTGAGGAGTATGCCTCCAACATCGCAGAAGGCTCGGGTGCCAATCTCCCGGCCATCTGGGGCCTAGGAGCCATGGAAGCACGTGATACGATCATCGTGCTGAAGCCAGGCTACCAGAAGGTTATCTTCCCCAGCGGTGACTACACCCTGAAGCTGGGAAGGGGCGCCAAGGTCCTGAAGGCGAAGAAAACTCCCTCGGGACATCTCGCGAGTCCCTGCGGTTTGTATGACGGGGCTAAAAGCCAGACGGTCACGAACACCTTCACCATCCGCAGCAGTCGAGATGGCTATACCGAGACGGAGAACGAAGAGGACCCCGTCAGTGCGGGGCCACCCGCCGAAGCAACAGCGGGGCCACCCGCGACGGGACAGTCCATGACCGTCACGACCGATACGTACATTGTCGAGCCGTACATCGACAAGCAGCTCCTGGAAGACACGACCCGTTTGATCGTGACAGGACGCTGAACAGCTGGTGGGAGGGCCAACAGTGTCCCGAAGGGACCTGGCCACATATGAAGGATGCCCTGAAGTCTAAGATAGTCTGGGCAGTCCAGGAGGCGGTGAATAAATGGACACCTGAGGACCAAGCGGGGCCACCCGCGTCACCGCCACCACCACCAAGCTACACGGGCGGAGGTTCGTCGGACTCTGCGGGGCCAACCCGCGTGGAGATCGTGAGCGTAGCCGCACCAGCGACTCCTGCGGAGCCATCCGCTAACAGCATGCCTCCGAGTCAGACGGCAACGTGGTCACACGACCGCCGCTGACGGGGGCAGGCGGGCGCGCCGGCGGCGCTCGCTTGCGAAGAGAAGCCGAATACCGGCCTCCTCGCCACATACGTTGGCCGCGCTGAGGCCCGAGAGGAAAAATATCATTCAAAATGTCTTGTCATCGAAGATATTCGCACAGCTTGCGCTGAACTCCGAACCCGTGGATATATATGCGACCGGATTACCCATAATGAGGTAATGACTTCAACTGGAACACAGTATTTGGGAAATTTGTTGGCAGGAGACTACAATATGTTGTTGGTGGCCACACCCTCTGATTGGTACGTTCGTACTCCAGGAAAGAGGGCGGGACCACATTATCAGCGTATACAAAATCTCCTGATCAAAGCGCGTGCTCTGAGAATGCAGATTGTTATCCTGGGGCCACCCGGGTATTTCTGGAAACAGGGTCCGATCAAAGATGTTATCGAAGATTTGAAGCTAAGCATTATACGAATGAGACTCTGTCATTTCGGTATCAAGTTTGACCGCTCCAGTAAATGTCCCAGTGGTTCTTATATACAAGTTGCTACATCTTGTCCTCATATACCGATAAACTTATGGAAGTGCACTTGTGGCTCACACAAAGAGCATGATTTGGATTGGTATGGCCAAGATCAGCAACGTGCCGAGTTTCGGCATAAAACTTTGGCTATCATTATTGCACGCTTCCTTGATCAACTCGATAAAGCCAACATGATCAGGAATGAGCGGAGTGCGGTACACCTCAGTGTGTGTACTCGCGTTGACAAAAAGGTCAGACACTACGTCCAATGTCCACAAAAGGGCCCTCAATGGGACCATGTTGTTCGTAGAGTCACGACCGACCTGGACACGAATAAGATCGTTCAAGATATCAGAATCCAGGATCAGCCAACTGGGTACAATTATGTGGCTCCATTACCTGATGGGGTTACAAACATCAGTACTCGGTTATACTGGGAGCCTCCGGCTCCAGTTCT